TTCACCCTCCCATAGAATGCACAGCACCCAAACCACTGCTAGGTTCATACAAATCATTCAATAAATATTTGTGATATGAATTGAACAAATTTGTGTTAACTTAAAATTTAGTTCAGTGTAATCAGTAAAGAAGTGATTTTCAAATCTATGTAGTAACAAATGAAAAAATCCTTTGGGTAAAATGAATTGAAAATCTCAGGATTCAAAGTTAAAACATACCATGCCTTAGCTAGAGTTTCTATTTCTGTGATAAAATGTCATGACCAAAAGCAACTTGGGGAGTAGAGGGGGGTTTTGGCTTACATATCCTAGGTTACAGCCCATTGAAAGAAGCAGGGACCTGGAGGCAAGAACTGGAACAGAGGCCGTGGAGGGGTGCTGTTTACTGGCTTGCTCCTCATGGCTTGCTCAGCCTGGTTTCTTTCCTTCTTTCTTTTTTGTTTCTTTCTTTCTTCCTCCCTTCCTTCCTTCCTTTCTTTTCAAAGCGACTTCTTCTTCTATTTTGTCTCCCCTCTCTCCCCAGAGCTGAGGATCGAATGGAGAGCAAGTGCTCTACCACTGAACTAAATCTCCAACCCCTCAGCCTGCTTTCTTATAGCATCTGCCCAGGAATGGCACAACCAGCAGTGATGTGGCCTCTTCCACATTAATCACCCATCAATAAAACGCCCCCACAGACTTGCCTACTAGTCAATCTGATGGAGGCGTTTTCTCAGTTAAAATTCCTTCTTCCCGGGGCTGGAGAGATGGCTCAGAGGTTAAGAGCACCAACTGCTCTTCAGAGGTCCTGAGTTTGGTTCCCAGCAACCACATGGTGGCTCACAACCATCCATTATGAGATCTGGTGCCCTCTTCTTGTGTGCAGATATACATGGAAGCAGAATGTTGTATGCAAAATAAATAAAATCTTAAAAAAAAACACCTTGCTTTAAAAACAAAACAAAACAAAAATTCCTTCTTCCCAAATACACCCAGGCCTGTGTCAAGTTGACAAAAACCAAGTAGACACCACAACAATCACACGTGGGTTTAAAAGAAAAAAAATAACATAGAAAAAAATCAAAGACTAAGCAACATATATTTGATATGCTAATTAAATATGCCTCTATTACTTGGCTACTCTGATGTTCTCTCTGTTACATTTCAGCATTTTATTTTTGCATAGCTAGTTCAGGTTTAAGAGCCATCAAAATTGTTAGCCAAGAAATCATTCTATGTTTTCAGCTCCAAAGGCTGACATAGGATGGTGAGTTTGAGACTAGCCTCGGCTACATAGTAAAAATTCTGTCACCAAAAAGAAAACAAAGTTTAAGAAGCAAGGACTATTTGCAAAGTCACAGTGCAACTGTGTTTCCATTAAAGCTACAAACTCTGTTACCTAGACACCTTTCCCTTCTCAGAGGCTGAACCAGTGTATACAAATATGCAGTATTTATATGGCTTTGAGACAGTCACGATGGTCTGATTACCTGAGCTATTTTGAATAATATACACTGAGGGACAAGCTGTCACATAAGGGAGATTTGCATGAGTTTAGCTCAGGTAAAGGATGAAATGACATTTTTCTGAAATGTTTATATGTGTTCTTGGTAGCATGTGTTCCATCTAAAAAGACTTCCATTAAACATGCTGCCTGCAAACATGAGGAGCAGAAAATTTAGAAATGATTCTTAATTTTAGCAATGGTAAATATGAAGAAACATACATAACTAATCCTCTTCTTAAAATTCATATAATAAATTAATTCTGTTACTTTTAGATCAACTCCTTGTATATGTGAAGTATATCCTATAAGTGCTTTTGTGTGTGTGTGTAAATAACAAAGATATAGGAATCTACGAGTATTATAATATGTAAAAATTCAACTTCTTACAAACATGACTCAAATTCTAAATTTAATAATCACTACAAGTCATTAACCTAAATGCTACAAAAAGTGATTATTCAGTTGCCATAGACCTTGCGAATAACACATGTTAAACTGCAAGTTTTCCTTACAAAGCTTTAAATGGATTATCTCACAAACAGGTCGCACAACCTGCTTAAATAACTGTATTCACAAACGTGACACCTCTTTAAGTGATAAGAGTTATCACTATGTTAACCCATCACTCAGACACATCAGTTTTGATATGCTGCAGTCTAATTGCTTCCTGTTATATAATTACTTAAAAATCCATTCTGAGTGAGTTCCTGGAAAGAGCCTTAACTTTGAGCAGCGGAAACTGTAGACAACAAATTTATTTTTTAGGCAGGAAAGCAAAAAGTTGTAATAGCAGGGAACAAAAAGCACACAATCGGATGTGAATCCAGCATGCAGCGGAGGTCAAGTGCAGCTTCTTTTCCAAGAACAGAAGATGGATACTGCTTCATTTTCTTTCATTCATTCATTCGTTCGTTTGTTTGTTTGTTTGTTTGTTTGTTTTGTTTTTTCCAGGCTTTCTCTGTATAGCTTTGGAGCCCATTCTGGCACTTCCTCTGTAGACCAGGCCTGCCTCTGCCTCCGGAGTGCTGGGATTAAAGAAAGGCTTGTGCTACCACCGCCCAGGGGATACTCACTGTATTTGTCAGGATGTCTGAAAGAATGGGATTCTGTGAGATTGCTCTGCTAAGAATAGTAAACTACTTTGCCCGTTTTTTTTTTTGTTGTTGTTGTTTGTTTGTTTGTTTGTTTTTTTCCTCAACGATTGAAAAATAAGTTGTTGATTTGGGGGTAGCTCTGTTGCCAGATAAAGGCACAAACCAAGCATGTGCTGCCATCTTAGAGACTGAGCCCTCAAATACTTTTATTTAGTTAAAAAAAAAAAAAAAAAAAAAAAATGAAGACAAGGTGTAACTGCCTGGCCTAAAACTCACATGTAGACCAGACTAACCTCTAACTCACAGAGATTCTCCAGCTAGGAGAATGCTAGGATTAAAGGCAAGTCAAGGCTTATGCCCCCACACCCAGCTAGCCTTGTCTTAGTAAATTAATTTCATTGTCTAAAAGTCTAAACAAAGAGAAAAAAAAAAAGTCAGGCTGGCCTCATTCTGGATTTGACTGACAGGAAAATCTGATTGTAGTGTGTAGGATAAAAGGAAAGCAGAACTCAAAAGCAATACTGCTTCCTAGTTTCCTCCACTGAGAAGAAAACAGACTAGGTGCACGCATGCACAGCTGCACCTACTGCCTTCTTCCTGGTGAATCCCCAGCTCCCAGAACTGTCCTTACCTCTCTACACAGCCCGCTGTCCCCTTACCCTCAGACCTGTTTTGCTGTCTCCTTACCCACTTACCTAATTTGCCTCTGAAGTGCTCAAAAGAGTGAGCAGAAATCTCTCGATAAGAAGGAGCAGTGCATAGAAAATATGAGAAATAATAACTGAGATAAATTTTTCCATATAGCAGATATAATGAACTACGCTTTATTATGTTGTGAGCATTGAGCTCTACAACATGCAGAGACCACAAATCACACATGTGATTCATATAAGCCATGCTCAGAGAGGTTTAACAACCTCTAGAATGTCATTTAAAAAAGTAAGTTCAGCATGCATAAAGTAAAATAAACAGATTAACAAATTTTCCTATGACTTTTTTTTTTCTACTGTAGAGAATGGCTCTTAGAATTGGAAACATTTTAGTAACTCTGTTTATTTTTTTCCCTTGGTTCTTTGAGATAGCTGACCTCAACCACACTCATCAGCCAGTGAATGTCCTTGAACTTCTCCTGCCTCCAACTCTCAGATGCTAAGACTATAGACATGTATCATCATGCCCACTATTGTAATTGAATCTTAAATCCTTCCTTCCGGCTCTCTGAAGAAGGCATTGAGCCATCTCTGCTTGGACCATTTAACTACTGGAGTCCTCTGTACCTCACCAGGAAACTCATTCCCCTACTTCCATACTAGGCAAGTTCTCTGCCAGTAACCATCCCTCCTACCTCACCCCTCCCCCTTTACACAGCTCTTGCTGTCAATCGTTTTCTCTGAGATTCTCCTCTAAAACCTTCTCTGTGACCACTTATAGCGTCAGTTAGAGCACCAGTCCTTCTAAGATGGCTAACTCCTTCCCGACCGGAGATTTTCCATAACTAGAGGATACGCTCAGCAGACTGGCATGGTCTTTTCTAAGAGCTAGAAGAAGAGTATGGCGGTTTAAAAGAAAAAGACCCCCAAAGGGAGTGACACTATTAGGAGGTATGGCCTTGTTGAAGGAAATGTGTCACTGTGAAGCTGGCTTTGAGATCTTTTTCTCAAGCTTCACTCAATGTGACAGTCAGTCCTATTTCTGTTGCCTCTGAATAAAGATGTAGGACTCTGAGCTACTCCAGCATCATATCTGCCTATACACCACCATACTCCCCACCATGATGACAAAGGACTGAACCTCTGAAACTGTAAGGGAGCCACCCCAATTAAATGTTTTCTTTATAAGAGTTGTTGAGGTCGTGGTGTCTCTTCACAGCAATAAAAACCCTAATCAAGACAACGAGCTACATCTCTTTTACTCAACTGTGGCATCATACTTGGCAAACATATAAGAATATTGAATTATTTATCACACAGTCTACCATTATGCCCAAAGTCAGATTTTTAAACTTAAAAATTAACCTAATTTCTTTTTCCTTTCACCACTCCCTATATGCTATTAACAAACTATTTAAAATCAAGAAACATCCCCTCCCTGAAGAAAAAATAAGTTGCCCAGAAATCCAATCCTTGAAACAGAGTAAAAGCAGCTGCTTTAGTGGAAGCTGGAGGAAGAATCCTGCATCCTCAAACTAGTTCTCGGACCACAATTGCAAAGTCATCAGCCAGCACCATGTTCTTCAACTCTGACTTTCCCCCTCAAATAAATTTTAAAGTAATGTTAGCACTTTCCTTGATTTTTCACACTATATCTTAGACTTTGTGGAAGACAGTATGAATCGTTAAATGACTCTTCACAGGGGATAGAATGGTTGTAAAGTTGGAAGGCATCTTTGGCTTCATTTCACTGAAATCTTTGTTTCCCAGATGAAGATATAGAGCCCAGAGAAGAGAAGTAATCTACACCAGGTCACTCAGAAGAAAAGCACAACTGCATCACAGCCTGGACCCTCCTGCTCAGGTGAGCTTCTCTGCTCGCATCTTGGACTTCTGGAGATCTTTTAGAAAGGTGCCCCTTCTCATGGTAACATTACTAAAATGAAATCCTAGTTCTCTGTCAAGCAACCAACAAACATTTACAGCATATGGAATATTGTATTGACCTTGGAAATGAGACAAAGGAGGACACTGGCAATTAGCTTTATTTTATCTCAAAACAGTTATTCTTGGCTTACGGACTTAGAGGGACCTTTGAGGTGTTTTGAGAAGACCGTTTCATCTGTGCAAATTTGCATAAAGTGCAGGGGTTACATAGATGCCACCTCCCCCAACTTTTGACTATAGGTTACAAACCCCTGGCCTAGAAAGAGACAGTGGCAGGATAAATGCCAAAAAGCACAATAGCAGAGCACTAGCTCCTGCCTTATTTATGGGTCTCTGGTGGAAGACTGCTTCTGTTTCAGTATCCTGCATCTTTAATTTATATGATGCAGCAGTTTATCCTGGAAGACCTTTGGTATGAGAAGAATGTTTTTAAATAAACATTATCAGCCAGGTATGATAAATTAATATAACAAATCTGGAAATATGAAGACAATGTCTTCCAAAATAAAAATATTCACAGTGAAAGTGAGAATGGTCAATTTTCACAGAAGGGCATTCATTTTATCTTGCTTTAAAATTATTATTACTATTATTAAGAAAAACGAATGAACTAAAAAGAAACCTAGGCTGCTGGCTCCTATTCAAATTATTATAAAAGCACCCATCAGCTCATGGGAAACAGTGTGGACAAAAGGTATCTCTCCTTGTGTCCTGTGGACATCTGGAAGTCTCCAGTCCTTTCCTGTTTATAGCAGTGTTTCAGGGGATTTTTAGTTCGAGAGTTGAGGGGCAGTAGTTTTTTTTTATTTCAATATACTTTAAGAAACTTCTTGATTACTTTAAGTTTATTGATGATGAGTGTTGGTCTCTCCAGTTGAAAATATCCTTTTTTGGACATCCCAGATAGCACCAGATATTGTAGGAGGCAGCATGCTGTAACTGGAGCTCTCTCTCCTCAGTGTCACAGCATCCCAGGTCAAATCCCAGGACCAGTGCTAGCTTGACTCCCAAATGAACAAGACACAGACCCTGGAGCCTTGCATTCTTACTCTCTTGAAGTGAACTGATGCATTTGAAGTACTTCCCATGGTGCTCTGCACGTGCAATGATGTGCTCGCAGAGGGCAGTTAGCATTGAACTTGCTGGGGACTTTTATCTCTATTGTGGTAGCCACATGGGAAACAAATAAAAATTCTCAACAGCAATATTCCTGAAAATAATTTCTAGGTTAGTAACTGAGAAAAGTCACCTGCTTGGCCTAAAAGGTAGTGTCAATTTCTTTTATTCTTTGCCTGGTCTTTATGATCTGGTATATTATAAGGTGAACTTTACATACTAGTGTGCTAGTGTGTGGAGTAGTGATTACTTTAGCCATTACAACTTAACCTTTCCTGAGTATTGCTCCAAGCTTCTTTCTAATCTTCCCAGCAGATGTGGGCATGGATTTCTGTCACATTCCTATCCCCCAGCTGAGAAAACCAAGGAAGGAAATATTTAAGTTACTCGGAGTGACTCGCCCAGGGCTGCAGTTCACCCCCATATATGACCCAGAACAGAACTCACCCACGTGAACACCCCAGCATTCAGTCTCTTAAGGTCCACTCACCGTCACTGTGAGCTGTTAGCCCTCAATTTATTCATCTGTATAAGGATAATTGAAGCCTCCAATCCAGCCATAGCCCACCACAGTGGCACTTAGAGAGGGTGCCTGTGGTGGAAGAGAGAATACATTGTCCCCAAGGACATCTGCATTTGTCTCTGGGACAGCTCTACCAAATCCCCACAAGTGTGGTGCCTTCTGGCAAAAGGAATGTATCTACCGATAGTGTTGAAGGTAAAAGTCTGCAATGAAGGTGTTAGCAGGGACATACCACCCGCCACCTGCCTTTCCCAGACACCCATAAACATACACTCTAAATACACACACACACACACACACACACACACACACACAGGTGGGGGGGGGGTACATTGGATAACAGGTGGCTGGATGGCTTCCACCAGACTATCACAAATAGTGCAGTCATACACATAGCTATACTTTTAATAACCTTTTAGAGAAACTTCTAATGACTTTAAAGACACTTGGTTTTATAGTTATGTTCATGTTTTACTTCTAAAATCACCTTGGCAGCCTTTGGCAGTAATAGCACTGAAATGGAAAGCCAATTGGAAGCTACATACTGTCCTTCCTGTCATTATAGAGTAACAGGGATGTAGTTTTAATAAAGAGACAATAAAGAGCACACCCCCAAGAAACACATAACTGAGCCTGGGCCTAGAAGCCCATCTCTCCATTGCAGGACTCCCCAGAATGCTCAGGGACACTGCCCTGTCTCTAGATTAGTAAATGATGAGACACCAGAAGAAAGGCATAGCATGTTATCTCCCACACCATTATAACCTCTTTCTATACATTTCCATATCAATATACTTTCCCCCATTTATGGTTTTGAAATAAATAACTTCTTTTGATAGCCACACGACATTGAATTTAAACAAATCTCTGAATTTTGTATGCCCTAAATTACAGTAAATACTTTCACTAAAGTTGAATTCCAATATTTCTGCCTCAGTCATGAGTCCTTCACTAGTTAACTCATCTGGAGTCTGAATTGAGTTCCCTCAAAACCAAAACAAAACGAGCAACTACTTCGAAATTAGTTATTCGGTGCATACCATATTGCCCAATGGTGTCAGTTGATAATCGGGCTGGTAGAACATGTTTTGTGGTGTTCTGCTTTTGTTCTTATTAGCAAAAGTGAGACACACTAGAGTTGGTGGAGCCTCAAAACACTCTGTACCAAATACTTGGCTGCATTGTTGCTGACCTCTAGTAGCTCACTGCTAAGTACAAGGTTGCACAATGGAACCAGAGTAACTAAGTTGCCTAAAAGTGATGCCTGTGTTCACTTGCCATGCTTGCTCTTCCTCTCTCATCGTGAATGCATAAAGAAAATCCATTAATTGCTCTATGGTCATTTACTTTTCTCTCCTTTCATCACAAAGCCCTGGGTTGCTTCTTAACCTCCACTAAACACTTGGGTTTATACTCTGACTTCTAATATTCACTCTGCTGTCAGCTCGGGAAACTAGCTGGTGATGGAAACTTGGCAAGTATTCCAGTATGGAAAGAAAGTTCCCAGGGAGGGATTAAGCAAGATTAGCACTTTCTGTAGTGCATAGATGACAACAGAAACCAATAAACTAGTCACACTTTATTTTCACACAATACAGTGTGAGGTTGTGCCATTAATTATAAAGACCATGAAACCAGAAACCATGTCACTGATGATATAAGAAATTAAATGCTGCAGAGATAAGGAGATGGCTCAGTGGGTAAGGAGCTTGCTGTGTAAGAATGAGGGACTAAGTCCCAATCCTAGAATCCTCAGAAAAGGCTAGGCACTGTAGCACATGTTTAGGGGGAGTTGGGGCAGAGACAGGTGAATCCCAAGAGCTTGTTAACTGGCCAGTCTAGCTAAATGGTGAGCTCCAGATTCAGTAAGAGACCTTGTCTAAAAACAATAGAACAAGATACTCAACACTTACCTGGCCTCAGAACACACACACACACACACACACACACACACACACACACACAAAAAAAGAAAAGAAATTACATTCAGCATCTCTGTGAACTGAACTGTGCTCAGGGGGAGAAGCAGCTTGTGATTTGCCCTCTATGATAAGAACACTCTTGTGAAATTATGCTTTGCTCAGCCTACACAAGAAAATGAGGTGGCACTGTCCAGGGCACATCTGAATGTCAGTTCAAACACTGTAAGGCCTTTCAAGGGGAAGTTTGTCGCAATGACCACATAGATGCTTTGGTTGATTGGTTTTGACTGCTCTAGGCATTCAATTAGCACACAAGAAAAAGACCTAGAATTTCCTCCTATAAAATACACAAACCACTATGAAGTAATCAGAATACGCCACAAAAACGGTCTCAGTGTATAACTTAGCAAAATCATACAGCTTAAGGTTATGTGACTACAAGGAACAACATACACTGCTTTACTGTTACTTACACTCCATAACTAAGTTAAATTTAAAAGAAACTATCAATTATTACCTTTTCCTATGTAAACAGCTTGTGGCACAAGAGCTTTGGGGACATTCCCAGGATATAAATTAAAACAAATAGATAGACAGGCAGGCAGATGGGAAAGAAGGGGACCTGAAGAAGAAAAATGGAGCAAAAAAAAAGAAGTGATGGAAAAGAACAGGGAGTGAAGAAAGGGCAGAGAGAGAGCCGCCCTAAAATCTGCCTCCCCGGGTGGTCCCGGCCTAGGATTCTTTCCTCATCAGTACTACTTTTCTATTCATCTTAAGTTTTTTTTTTTTTTTTTTTGTTTCCTAGAACGAGCACTTGTAAAAGGCATTTTTGTGAAATTTAAATCCACTTCATGGGTGTTCCTGAGAGTGGAGCCTGTAAACTTTTAACATTATGAGGAACTACAAATGCATTTGTGATTTTTGTTTACTTGGTTTAGTTTTGTGGGGGGGGGGTTGTGTGTGTGTGTGTATGTGTGTGTGTGTGTGTGTGTGTGTGTTCAAAAAAGACAGATGGTACTAAATTTGCAGAAAACAATTTGTCTAAAGTCATTGCCTCAAGCAGCTCATATGAATTCCCAAGCACTTCTTTTGGGCTCTGTAACTTGCTGGGGAAATAATGATGCTCAGATTTACCTGGAAAGCACATCCAAGAATGTTTCTGCCATGCAGTTTGTCAGTCATTCAGCCAATTATCTTCCCTGCCAGTTCCGGGGGGTGATGAGGTAGGTGAATGCCATATACCCCTTGTATTTCAAAGAAAATAAAGTCTTCAGTCTACTTAGGAAATGGATTGCACGTGACTACTTATTGTAAGTTCTAAAATGTTAGTGCAGTGGTTACTGCATAGAAGAAAGC